ACTTGATGGATTTGTACCGGCAAAAGTAGTGAGGGGTATTAGAAACATTGTGACTTGATGGATTTGTACCGGCAAAAGTAGTGAGGGGTATTAGAAACATTGTGACTTGGTGGATTTGTACCGGCAAAAGTAGTGAGGGGTGTTAGAAACATTGTGACTTGGTGGATTTGTACCGGCAAAAGTAGTGAGGGGTATTAGAAACATTGTGACTTGATGGATTTGTACCGGCAAAAGTAGTGAGGGGTATTAGAAACATTGTGACTTGGTGGATTTGTACCGGCAAAAGTAGTGAGGGGGTGTTAGAAACATTATGACTTGTGAAAAGAAAATTATTTCTACTGAGAAGGAGAGTGGTATTCATTACGTCATTTGTAGATTTCACAGATAAAACAAGGTGACGTACAAAATTTTGACAGAATACTTGGCGATAGTTTCTGACGTCATTTCCGCATTCTTGTTTCCTGCTATGTTTCTTGATAGACGTGGGATTTTTCTTCTTAACATAATGTCACGCATCACCCACCATGCAAGTTCATTTAAAGTATGTGTGACAATTTTCTTTTGCGACATATTTCTAGTGGCAGCTTTTTGTTTTAATGTATGTACAATTAGTTAGCGACCTTATGGGTAAATGTAGTGTAAATATGACATAAAGTGGGAACCGTAAAAGGACAGGACGCGATTCAAGAATGTTAGCATATTGCCCAAAGTATTTGATACGACTCAGTTTCGTTAATTCATTCGAAGTACAGCGAAGCCTTGTTAATCTACATAGTTATGAACGGTTACATGGATTTTTCTGTTGTAGTTTTTACTCCCCATAATTAAGTTTTGTTTCGCAGTTTTTTGCGGCCGGTGGTTCATTCAATTGTTATGGTTAACTTCATTTTATTGCGTATAAAAGTATTCTTCGTGTACGTATTGCTGTACCGACATAAACAGTATTATTACATGATTATCTGAACGTCTCATCATTCCTTGTTATTGCAGGAATGAAAACAATTCATCCACATTCTGTTAGCTACACAGTTGTTGTTGTTGTTGCAGTGTAAGACTAGAGGGAAGGCAGCTAGTCATCACCACCCACCGCTAACTCTTGGTCTACTCTTTTACCAACAGATAGTGAGATTGATCGTAACATTTTTACGTCCCCACGGCTGAAAGAGCCAGCATGTTTGGCTCAGATTGCGAGTCAAGCGCCCTAACCACCTGATTTGTCTAATCAACTAACAAATATGTCAGCTGTTAGACTTGTTGAACTGTTTCTGTTTGCCATAAAGAGATATAATATCCTAATTAAAACTTCTTTCAACGTTGCACGAACATAGACAGAATTAAAAAAAACGGTGAGATGATATTGAGAAGAAACATTTTCCTAACCACGTAAGATGATTTTCTTCTGTGGTACACCAAATATGGTGATAATTTCTACTGTGGTACACCAAATATGGTGATAATTTCTACTGTGGTACACCAAATATGGTGATAATTTCTACTGTGATACACCAAATATGGTGATAATTTCTACTGTGGTACACCAAATATGGTGATAATTTCTACTGTGGTACACCAAATATGGTGATAAGTTCTACTGTGGTACACCAAATATGAGTAGTTAACTTATTACAAAAGTTCGCAGTGAGCATTTGAGAGACCCCTAGTAACTAGGGCCTATTTTTGATGATAGTTTAAAATAAAGTGTACCTAAGGACCGAATCGTAATGATATCGAGTACTGATTCGTTATTCCTAAATATTTTAACGAATGCGCTTCATAACAAAAAAAAAAAACAATGTTTAGTCAATGGCGCTTGTCCGACTCGAACGTGCTAAGCATGCAGATACTGTTGTCACGTAACACTAATGATTTTGTCACAATTCCAAGTAGCAGGTTCCTGTGTGACAGTAGATCTGTGTCGTGAGGCTCGTGCAACAGATCGATTTCGCTGGCGCAGGTGGCTTCTCCAAGTTGGGGGTTTGGTAGCTGTACTCAGGAGAGTATGGTGACAGCCTGTCAAGAGAAGATGAGAATATCCAACAATCTATACATCAGTTTCACGTACCACCAATCTGTCTCTAAGCTAATCGTGGCTAAGGCGTGTGTGCATATAGCTGTAGAATGTGTTTGTAGACGTGATCGTGACTGACATAACAGGATTTTGAGGAATATAAAGTTTAGTGTTTTATGTTTTTTTAACTTGTAAAAAAGAGTTGTTGTTGGGTTTTTTCTGGAAAGTACATAAGGTTCCTTATTTCATTTCTCTGTCACTAAAAGTTCCAGTTGAAGTGAAAGCGGCTAACAGATTTTTCTAAAAACTTCCAAGTTTATTTGTTTTTGGCATAAATTAAATAAGATCCAATGCCAAATTTAGGACCTGTCTATCTCTGTTTGAGTGAAAATATACATCATGCTGGTACATTTATCTGTGTTTAGTGAAATTGAATTAAAAATTTGTATCAAATGTGGTTAAGTAGAAAATAAGAACTTGCATGTATATCTCTCTTTGGTTAAATTTGAAGTAAGTCATTTGACAAACATACTTTACTTCAGGTTGGAATTGTATTTTAACAAATTTGTAACATACATTCAAGCACAACAACATTTGAGAACTCTTAATCAGCCAAAGTAAATTACTTTTGGGTTAAAATCATAAATAAT